GGGGGGGGGGGGGGGGGGGGGGGGGGGGGGGGGGGGGCTCTCTATAATAACCTATGCGGGGAGGTTCTTCCCAACAGGGTACATCTTTCAATTCAGGACAGACTATTCCACGTTCTTTTCTTTTTGTCAACTTTTGATATACAGAAGTTAAGCAGTTGGCACCACTGAAAAGAAAGGCCTTAAAATTAGTAAAATTGCCAAGCGTTGAAAGTGATTTGTTGAAAAGTGACGAAGATATAGGTCCTCAAAGTCGCGCGAAATTTTATAGGACCGTTTGTATGGTTGGTGCCGGACACAAAGTTCATCGACATCGAGTTATACCCAGTCCTGTTAAATTTGGCTCATTCTTAACAGAGCGTCCTCAGTATAACTATTACCACAAACTGTTGCTTATACAAAGGCGTACAAACAGAGGGGCTTTAATATCCGAGGGGGCCTATAGATGGCATAGAAAAAGCGCTTCGAAATGAGCTGTAGCATTGCTGATCAAAATAGATGTTTTTGCATTTACTGGTCGTTAATTAAGGCTATAAATCGAATTCAATTCAGTTCAAGCAAGAGGGGAGCTTATTATACCCGGTGGGGCTTATATTCGGATTTTTTTTTCCGTTAACAGGCATAATATGGGCCCATAACTGAAGAGGAAGACTTATGCGGCGTTTACGGTGTTTGCCGGCATTGGTTCAGGCCAATAGACGGTTTACGAAAGGGTACCCCGGCTTTTCTGTCGAAAATGATATGTTTAGCATTAATGGGTTAGTCCTCGGGGGTGGCCTCCCCATCTTCGTTCTTATTTTAGCTGCAGCGGACGTTACATAACGGAGAACGTGACCCTACTTTTTGAAACGTATACTTGCTGCAAAGCAGTAGCGAGTTATTTATGTTAGAGGCAGCCAGTCCTCACTGAGAGATAACAAAATTGTGATTCAAGCAGCAAGTAACATAATAGAGCTTAAGCAACAACAGGGGAAGGAAGAAGGAACTTGCTCTTGTAACTGGAGAGCTCTAAGCCGGTTTTCACACTATGATTTTTCGAAAGAAAAACGAAAAGATAAAAACTGGCCAAAAACCGCCTAGATTAAAATAAACCGTTGTATCACCATATATTTTATTTGGAAATCGGGCCTACAATCGCTACGTGTAAACTAGCCTTAAAACAGCAAAACAAAAAATCAAAATGAATTACAACTTTTTTATACATTTTATTACTATTTTCTACTCAACTAAGTCGTGCAATGCGAACACCCAAAGACGACTGACTTTTGGTTTCCCTTTTTATAAAACTTAAACGCATTCCGTATTGTCTGATATGCTTTCCACTCGCTAATCTCACAACCACAAATGCATGTACACTGATGAATTATTTTAAAGTACAAAGGTAACTTGCCTAATGATTTAATAGCAACATAGTAAAGCCCCGCCATACGACCACCCGTTTATACGACCACCTCGTTGCTACGACCATATTCTGTCCATACAAACGTAGAAATCGCTGACTTATTTTTTTATTGTTTTGAAAATCGCCCATAAAAGCGACCACCCCATTATTACGGTCAGGATTTTATAGCCCAACAGTGGTCGCATTGACGGGGTTCCACTGTAGTTAACTGCTTTATGACTCACGTTTGAGGATCAATAGTGACCTTCACTGGGCCTTCACTGAGCTGAAACAGGGCTAATCGGATAACAATGCGCTTAACATTAACCGCGTTCTGCACTTGAATATAAATATTTTTAATTTTTACTGTAAAGCCATTCTTAACCGCTTTAAACAACGTATTCACATGTATATCATAGTCATTAAAATAAAGAACACAAATAGTTACGAATAAATAAGAATTGTTTAAATAATTAACACTGTTTATACTTGTTTCCTCGTAGTTACTAAAACATGGAACGACCTAAAACCACCTAAAACCATCTACAACCACCTACAACCACCTCAAAAAATTCAACAACCACCTACAACCACCTCAAAAACGTCTACAACCACTCGCAAACAATCTAAAACCATCTAAAACAAGGTATAAATGTCTGAAATAAGGCGAGACGACAACATGTCACGTACATGAAATACGAGAATCGAACAAAACATCCACTCCCCCC